GAGCTTTGACATAACGCAGGATGGTTGGAGCATAGCCTGGCTACTTCCGCACTGTTGCAAAACCCTCAAGCGGTCGTCTTAATGGATGTCCTAGAAATGAGACATCCTCTACATGGGAGCACCTTATCAGCCATAATGTCGTTGCACGAGACAAAGTTTAAGGCTGTCTATGTATCAACTATCCTCGATGTAATTCACTGAATGTCTAAGCCAAACCAAGATCCAACATGACCGCCATCCTGAGTATCTGAAAGTCTCTAAGCCGTGAAAACAAGCAATGAGTATGTTTTCATTCAAAATGTCATTCTCATCTGTGATGTCGACTACCACTGCACAAGAAGAACTTCTTGCCCCGATTCATGTAATTTAACCTTGATTGTGATACAGCAAGATCGCAACGGAAGCGTTCAGGAGACAGTAGAACAGCCTGGACATTCTGCGAATGCGGTTACAGTACGACAACGGCTAAATGAGGAGATAGGCGAGGACAATGCACAAGAAATTGCTACGACGTCCTTCCAGCAACGCGAAATGAACCAGGCGACACCTATTTTTACTCCTATTTCACAGATGCACATTGCGCAAAGGACTCGGGCACGTATTGCTGCAAGGCGCAGTTCCGGAGCTGAACGCAATCGTGTCCGCCGCAGCCAGGAAACTCCAGAGGCACGGCATCAACGCCTCGCCGAAATGCGAGAGCGCTATTGTCGTCGTCGTCGTCAGCCACATTCTGAGGAGAGGGGCGAAGAAGATCTAATGCAGGAAGTCAGTACCGCTGCCTTTTTGCACCGTGAAATGGACGAATAACTATTTCCATTCCCATTTTGCAGATGCACAGTGCTCAGAGAAGTCGAGCCGTTATCGCCGCAACTATTACTTCCGCAGCTGTAGATAACCGCCTCCGCCATGGCCAAGAAGCACCAGAGACAGAAGAGGAACTTCTTGCAGCGACGCATGTGAGTTACCTCATTGTAGCCAACATCACGTCAAAGGATGCGTTTAGGAGACTAGAGCACTCTACACAACATGCAAATGCTGCTACAATACGTCAACGACGATCTGAGGAGATAGGCGAAAGCACACATTATAATGCTACCATTGCATCCCAGCAACGTGAATTTGACGAGCCGACACTCACCGCCATTCCCATCTTACAGATGCGCAAGACTCAGGCCCGTATTGCTGCAAGGCGCAGTTCCGCGGCTGAGCGTGATCGTCTTAGCCGCATCCGTGAGACACCAGAGGCGCGAGTAAATCGTCTTGCCACAATGCGTGAACGCAACCGTGACCATCGCCAACGTCCATCACCTAACGCTGTTCCTGAAGTGCCGCCTGTCAATGAACATCACCTCGGTGAAATGAATGTCACTTGTATTCACTGTGGAGCTGCATTCTTTTCCGCCGAAATCCCTCACAGTCGTGACATGATCAACACCTGCTGCAACTTTGGCAACATCGTTCTGGAAGACAAATTCGCCGACTTTCCCGCCGATGCATGACCTCTTTGTCCGGGACGATGAACCATCCAGCAATTTTCGCCGCAAAGCGCACCAATTCAATTCTGCATTAGCAATGGCATCGATGGGAGCGAAAATTGACCTGCCTGCGGGGCACGGTCCTTGGGTCTTCAAAATTCACGGCCAACCATTACGCCGGACCTCTTCATCCGACTTTTGGAATTCAGCGATCGTACGGCCAGCTCTATATCCTCGACACTGCGCAAGCCGCCGCGGAACGCCTCGGTCATCCTGCGAACGCGGAATTTGACCCGGATGTAATGCAATTGCTGAGCACACTGATGTACAGGGTCAATCCGTTTGCGCAATCGTACAAGATGATGGCGGATGTGCTTGAAGAAGAAGAAGCTGTTGCGGCACGAGAAAACCGGTGCTTCGCACCCATTCGTATGGTTTTTGAGACCAGTAGTTTGCTCGACCTTCGCCGTTACAATGCTCCCATTTGCAATGGGGTCGCAGTCGTTTAAGTAGGCGAAAACGGTGATGTCCCCGCCCATCGCGACTTTGCCGTGTACCCGTATGGCGAAGCACTTCAACGAATTTCGGACATTTCTGACGTCGCTGATCCTCTGTACTATCCGCTATTTTTTTTCAACGGGGAAGCTAGGCTGGAATCCAAAT